TAAATATTTTGGTATACAGAGGAGTTCATGGTCGACTCTATGACTGCCAGGTGATCAGTGGATGCAGCTGTAGAAGAAGCCACCACCATGCTTGACAGTTGGCATGAAGTATTTGTGTCGATATGCTATGTTTCTCCACACGTACTGCTGTGCATTGTGGTCAAACTTCCAACTTTGCTCCTCGGGAACTTTGCTCTCAAAGTCTTCTTGTTTGCTCAGAGTACCCTTCCAAGCAAACCATACTTGTTCAGTGTTTTTTTCTAATCATACTTACATTACCTTCAACATTTAACATGCTGACTGGGGACTGTAGAGTCTGAGATGTAGCTCTAGAGTCGTTCGCAATTTGTCTCGTCATTGTACACGCTGACCTTGGGGTGACGTTGCTGGGACACCCGCTTCTGGGAAGATTATGGCATGCTACACACCAGAAAACTGCTAAAACTGCTTCTTTTATAGAGGTGCTCACACTTGATCAATTCATCAAATGTATTTGATTAGCAGGACCTGGCTGTTACTTACAATATTAATCCCTGTGGACGCAGTAAAGATTTGCTTGGTTTTTCACAGGACGGCAGAGATTCATCTGAAAACGTTTTCAGATGACGGTAGTGTGAAACAAAAATGCATCAAGCACCAGCCGTTGCTTACAAACCTTGATGTGCATATGAAAAAATAGACGAAGATTTTATATGGACTTTTAATTTAATAATTGATTTAATATTTTAATGAGAAGTGGTGCTCATCTGTGTGTTCTGTCATAAAGTTCCCTTCAAAATCATCATTATAATTTGTTGTCTGTCCTGTTACAAGCTAGCAATGATTTTCTAGCACATTTATACCATAATTGACTAACATGACAACAGTGAATCCTATTTCTGAGTGCCTCCTGCCCCTTTGTGCAGCAGATCACTTAACACTTTAAACAGAATATTCCTGTTTCAGTGGCTGATCTTCTCATTTTTTACCTGCTGTTTTCCATCCCTCTCTGAATGCTGACATGAAAAAAATGGGCTGACAAATCTGACTGCATCACTGTTATTCTAACTTGAATAAATGAAGCAGCCCTCAGTGGTCACGCCAAGAATCACATTTCACAAACCCTGGAACTCGCTGATGTTGAAACTGGTTTTAAATGGAATGAAATGCATTCGCAGGTCAGGCCTCAAAAAGCCTCTGCAGTCACATCTGCATAAACTGAAGTGCAGCAGGCTTCCTCAAAGCCAGAGAGGAATACATAAACACGAGAGAGATGCCACTGTAAATATTTCTGGAGATGCAGACTGAGCACAGGCTGTGCCTCTGTGTTGTTTACTGTCCAGCTGTCTGAAACACAATGCTAAATATATGTTTGCTGTAATCCATCTATACCTCAGAGAACAAATTTGTGGAATGAGATGCGTTTTTCCGCTAGTCTTAAAAAAGTCACAATGAAAACAACACTTTTCTTTTCTATGAGAAGATAAAAAAGAAAGAAAAAAAACAGACACACACACAACAATCTGCGCAGGGATTGCAAAGTTCACCAAAATGTGCATGCAAGGATTCACATTTCACCTCCACGTTTGCTTAATGGCATGTGGCAACTTTTACAGAAAGGTAGGCAGAGTCTATGGCCCTCCCAGAGCTCCAAAAAATAACAAATAAACAAATAAAAATTAAGTAAAATTAAATTAAATGTAAATAAAGTTTCCTTTAGTTTTAAATAACACAAAATGGACCAGATTAAAATGTCCCGCCCTGTCACCCTTATATCGATTGAGGATGTTTCAGTTTGAACTGGTTTTAAACACTTTATATTCTGTTTAATCTACAATAAAGTATCATATTCTATAAAATTATGGGTTTCTAGTGGCTGAGGACCAGACCAGCTTTTAATCTGCTCAAGAAGTCCTATATCTTTATTTAAAATGGTTAATAAACATATTTTTAAGCTTGTATTAGCAAAACAGCTCCTTAAACTTTGTACATTGGTCAACCGAACTGATTAACCAAGACGTTAATCTGAAAGTGTTAGTGGAGCCTGTACTTAGTCAAATTATCTGTTTTATTTAAAAAAAAAGACATGGCAGGGTTCCATCTCCCCATCATTAAAGCTTTCATTGCTAGCATGCTAAACAAGTTATTAAAAGTTATTAAAAGCAAGAGAAAGCACTCTTATAGTGATAAATGAGACAGCTTGTTTACTTTCTAAATAAAGCTAGCTCTGTTTTCATACTAGGTGCAGCTCATAACTGATATCAGTAGAGTAAAAGCGGAGCCAGCAGCAGCTTGTCTAGCACGCTAGTCTCCCATCAAAGATCAGAGGTTTATCTGCAGTGTGCATCCCCAAACAACCGATTGCTCTGCTTGACAAGCTTCAGACATTGTTAATGGGAAATGGACACACCCATGAGAGTGTCTACCCCATATGGATTTCATTATAAAGCTAAATTAATTCTGCTTCCAGAGACAATAGGCAACTGCAGCCACAAGATGGCAGTGATGTAAAGGATGGATGCAAGCAGGAAAGCTTATGAGAGAGCTCTGTTTGAGATAAAACAAGAAAGAACACTTTACTTTAGTATGTCTTAATTGATATCTATTTTTAGATTTCACTAGACAAGCACTGCTTGCTTTGCTTGCCCTGACGTAATGCCACTGACTTAGCTTGCTATCTTGGTATACACGGCTAGAGACATTGTAATAAACTTACTATCACTTGAAAAGGCAGCTGTGCTCCTACATCCACCCCACATCCCCAGCGACATGCCGTCATAGCTGCCATTCAACACCAGAATGCCCCTACACTGGTGAGTCACAAGATAATAAAGCAGGGCCCTGGCTGTGTGGCAGAGTGGGGCTCCCAGCTGGCTGTGTTTTACACGCTGAGGCCCATGTGATTCCTCTTAGTGAGTGGAAAAGCTGAGTCTGATTTTTTGTTTTTTTAATGTGACTTGAGACATCTAGAGCTCTACAGCTGGGCTCTCTGAACAATCACAACCTTGACATTTAGTCTTGTAAACTTAAGGCAGCCATTTAGATAGATCTGCTCCTGTAATGCAACTTTAGAAATTAAAGTGTTTTTACAGTGAGCATGATCACATATGTGATTAAAAAAACATTTTCTGCCTCTAGAGGGAGCTATGTAAAGTCTGATAAAAGTTCTCAAGCAATTGCACTTAAGTCAGAATCCGCTGGAGCAGAATTTGAAAAAACATGAAGTTATTTGAGGTCTGAAAAAAATGTGTTGTGGAGTTCAAGTAAGCTTAGCAGATCTCTGAAGCCTGAAGAAAGCTGAATATTCTTCTGCCTAAAGCTTTGTTGCTTTTTTTTTCCAGTGGTCGTTCACGGTATTGAAAGCTCGTTCCACAAATACCACTAGATTAAAGAGACTTTTTGGCCCATATTAACATGATACTATCACACAGTTGCAGATTTAACAGCCACACATCCATGATATAAATCTTGAGTTCTACCAAATCCCAAAGGTGCTCTACTGGATTGACATTTGGTATTTGATGCCTGTGGCCATTTGGGAACAATGAACCCATTGTCATTTTCAAGAAGCATGCTTGAGAGGATTTGAGCTTCACAACATGGTGCATTATCATGGTGGAAGTAGCCTTCAGAAGAGGGTACACTGTAGTCATAAAGGAATGGACGTGTTCACCAACAATACTCAGGTAGACTGTGGTGTTTAAATGATGCTTTGTTGGTACTAAGGAGTCCAAAGTGTGCCAGTGATTTCCGTTGCTATAGCACATGTGTATTCAGAGATGCTCTTCTGCATACCACGGTTGTAATGACTAGTTATTGGAGTGACTGTTGACTTCTTATCAGCTTGAAGCAGTCAAGCGTCTAACCTTACATCAACAAGGCATTTTCACTGCCATTCACTGGATATTTTCTCTGGATATTTTGGGGCTCTCTGGTTGTGTGAAAAAATCCCAGTAGATCAGCAACTTCTGGAATACGTAGACATGCCACGTTCAGAGTCCATTAAATCACCTTTTTTCCTTACTTTGCTGCTCAGTTTGAACTTCAGAAGTTTGCCCTGACCATGTCTACATGCCTAAATACACTGAGTTGCTGCCATGTGATTGGCCTATTAGACATCAGCATTAACAACAATTTAACAGGTGTATCTAATAATGTAATAATGGGGCTGGTGAGTGTAATTTACCAAAAACATTGCCACACCTCTGTTTGACATAACAACAGTCATAGTAACTTTAACAAAGTCTGTAGTCAGAAGGAGCACATATGACAAGCTCACAGACTCAGAAAGTTGTTTTTTTTTATCAACACCACTAAATCCTTCTATTTGTTTTTGGAAAGAAACAAGGAAAACTCGACTGAACAGGTCAGTAAGACAGAAGCAGAGTTAGTTCTGGTTTGCAGTTTGCTCATAACATTGGAATGCACTGTTATGAGGCCTGCACGGTGAGCAGAAAGATAACATTCTGCTTGTGGAGGCAATTAGCTCTGAGCCCATTAGCAGGCCCAAAAGCAATGCTCAGCTGGGCTTTTAAAGGTTCCAGTCAAACTGCTATGAAAGTTTTAAGTCTGACACCTAACAAATACCAGTGAACTTTCCTCAACGTGCTTTCACTGCAGGCTATTCAGAAAGGATTATTAATAGGACAGATAGTGGTTGAGAGCTGCTGGCTTTTAGTCCACAGCAGCTGTTTTCCAAGCAAATTTATTTTTTTTAGAGGTGAGTTTGATGTACAGCAGCTCCATATGTTATACTGCTAATGCTATTCTAATATGGAAGAGCTTTATTAATTGGTAAAGTTGTGATATTCTGAAAGAAATAACACAGGATCTCAGATTGAGGTTGACCTATTTGTTTGGACAAGAACAAATGTTGGATCCAGTATTTTTTGTACACTTTAAAAAGGCTTCTAAGGCTTAAATGGTGTTCATCACAAGATAACAACAAACACAGCAGATCCTAGCTAACAAACACATGAAATACAAAAGTTGGATAGAACTATTGGGCCTTGTAAGTTTACCTCCACATGGTTGGGCAGAGTGTTGAGAAATTTAAATCCCGGGATCCTCTTGTCACTGCATACCACTCCTACATCTTCGCTGTGCTTGCAGTCTGAAATGCCGATCCCGTTGGACTGACACTGTGCCAAAGTCTTTTCTTTGCCAGTACAGTGGACATTGTCAAACCAGATAGGTCCTGATGAGACAAAATAAATATTAATCCTTGCTTCTGTGGGAAGGACTTTTATTTTCAAATAACAAATATTTTTTATTATTTATTATACAGTCTTTAATTACTATAGTAGTACATAACTGAAAAAATAATGCCAACAAGGTTATATCAATAACATGTTCATCCAGACATGCCATCTGTATTGTGAATATATGTTAAATATGTTAAATATGTTTCCACACTGATGAGAAGAAAAATCCTGCTGTACCTTCTCCTTTCCCATATTTAGAAGATGGCAACCATGAGA